CCCTTGCAGATTTCTCGGTTATGAAAAAGTAGTATTTCTGTTCTTTGACATGGTTCTAATCATTTTTGCCATTTATTGTGACAGATTGCTCTGGGTAGGGGTCGCAAACCAGCGGGTCGGATATGGACGGGTCGAAAGCGGGTTAAGTAAAAATGGATAAAATATCCGACCCACCCTAACACGGATAAAAATGGCTTAACCGACGGATAATATGCTTAACCATATCATCTATTGTTTCTTACCCAAGTCTTGTTTCTATAGTTCTCTTAACTCCATCAAAGTGAGCCTTCGTAGATATACAAATGTCATCTTTGTATTATAGATATTATACCTTGTTTTTTTTTTTTACTTGGAATTGAGATAAAATTTAAATTCCTATTTTGATAGCAGATTCAGCTTATGTTTTCCACTACATGTTGAGATTAAATTTCTAGAAAACATAACAATGAGAGAAAATTTTGCAAAATTTCCAAGAATCTCAGGAAAATTCTAAAATGATTGATTGAGTTATGACTTAAAAGCTCAAAACCAAGTTTTTGTTTGCACTTTATTTGACAAAACAGTGATTATGTTTCCATATCATTAGAATATTCAAGGAATCCTCTTTGTTTAACTTATGTAATACCCTGCATGAACTGTGGTAATTATATGTATTAGTGAGATTAGCTAATTACTGATATGTAGGTAGGGTGGGTGGCATTTGGGGTGAGGCTGGGGTGGACGTAGCATTGGATAGTTTTAGAAAATGATTGTAGGGGCTGGTGATGATCCATTCTTGACCCGTGGTTATCCATTTGCTAAAGCGGATAATGTGGATATGATCCATATTTTATCCGCGTTGAATAAACAATTATACGGCCCATTTTTAAGCGGATGACATGGGCGGATACTTACAAATTTTATCCATTTTGCCAGCTCTAGCTCTGGCTAACAATGAAGTTGAACTTGGTTGTACATTCATTCTGGATAACCAACTTCGGTGTTCAAGACACTACCCGGGTCGATATTTACTCTAGTCCTCATTTTCCAAGTCAAATGATTATAATTTTCTCCGTCAAAGTCTTGTTCTTCAAAAAAAAAAAAAAATCTCTCTATCAAAGTATATTGTGCTTAACTACTTCAGAAGTTTCTTCCTACATGAGAATTTCTATCTTAGGTAGTCTATGTATGTTCCTACTAAACTAGCCTCTGAAATTCATGCACCCTTTCCCCAAAGGACAGGACGAGAAAAGGAAAAGGATAAGAACATGAATTAGACAAGTTTAAGAAACATAATATTTCTGAAAGATTAACATGATGTCTAACAGTATTGCAAGAAGGGGACCGAAAGATTATAAGCACCTTCATGTATGTGAAATTTGTTCTTTCTTTCCAGTAGTTGTCTAGTAACTCTAAGAGCTGGATAGAATCGGGAGATGTTTTGTGTTTTTGGGGACGTTCTTCGCTTAAGGTAGTATTTTTCTTCTTTGTCCGTTGGGCTTTGGTTTAGTGGTAAGAGCGCAATGCATGATATTAGTCGCACGTCACGTGTTCGAACCTTACTGCAAACAAAACTTTGGTATTTAAGTGAAGAAATTTAGAGGGGCGGGTCATTTTCCACCGAGTTTCAAACCGTGCATTAGCTGACCCTCGGGGATTTCTCGATTAAAAAAAGTAGATTTTTCTTCTTTTATGTGTTTCTAATCATCTTTGCCATTTTTTGTGACAGATTCATACTCACATGTGCTATTCAAGCTTCAATGACATGAGCTGTTCCATTACGGACATGGATGCTAACGTGATCACCATCGAGGAATCCCGGTCTGATGAGAAGCTTCTTTCTGTGGTCCGCCGGCGAGTGAAGTACGGTGCTGGATTATACGCATCCATTCGCCAAAGATTGAATCAACAGTAGAAATTGCTGACAGAATCAGCAAAATGCTTGCAGTCCTTGATGCCAACATCCTCTGAGTCAACCCCGATGGTGGCCGTAAGATGTCCAAGCATACTGAAGTTAAGTCTGCACTCAGCAACATGGTAGTTGCTACTAAGCTCCCCCTTGCACAGTTGGCCAACACCAAGTGAGCTTGAATTACCTTAATTGATCCAACGAGAAGTCTGTTTGAAATTGCACATGCAGAAACATTACCTGGTTATAACAGGGTCAGACTGTACAAACCCATTCCAAATGAGGTCTTCCCCTAGGGTACGGTTGTGCTTCCTATTGGTGAAGATAAGTGGGCCGCGCTGAACTTGGAATTCCCCAATGAGAAGTGTAGCGCCTAATTATGTATTACAGCAGAGGCATGTTACTTGCGTTTATCGTCCTCTTAAACATAGAGGATGAACTGAAACAAGGTGACTCTAGTTACTATCTATTTAAGGAACTTTTCTGAAGTATTTTCTGAAAAACAAAAGTGCTGTTGTGGAAGTTAAATGGCTATTAATATGATATTAACAGTTTAATTCTTTGTTTATTCCCCTAGTTATTCCTTTTGTTCTGTTTAGTTGTGATTGCTGTCTCCTTCAGGATTAGGTGAACAAAGCATGACTTTGGTGATGGACATCCGTCCTGTTCCTACTGCTGTTCTAGTCTAATTTTACACACACACACTCACTCTCTCTTGTGTAGAGATACACATTAGCTGAACCATATAAGAATCTTTTACATGATATTATAGAGCAGATTTAACTTTTCAGGTTATTCTTGCTACACTTGTATTGGAGACAGTCTATATGACCATTTCATAATGTGCTTGCATATAATTGTGGATTAGCAATCCAATAGACAATGATCATCAGTAGTTAATCCGTTAATTAGCTGCTCAACTGCGAGATTGTATTGAGATTATCACAATGAAGAAGAGATGGAGCTCACAGAGGAGCTCCAATGGAGGTTCTAGAAGGTTCTGAGTGAGGAAAATAGCTGAATTGTAAATGGAACTCTACTACTTTTCTGATTATTACAATGTGTATATATGTACACGTGTGTATCTAAAATACAACTAATTCACTATATAAAAGCATAGACATACAACTACACCCATAACTACATGCTGACTCAGCATATTACAAATTAATTTATCTTCAACTAACTAACTATATCTTATCTCAATACCCCCCTCAAGTTGGATGGGAGGGCCTCACAACCAACTTGCCAAGAACAACATTATGTTTAACTCCTGTGAGGGCTTTAGTAAGAATGTCAGCCAATTGGTCAGTAGTGGCTACATGGTGAAGAGAGATCAGGCCCTCTTGGAGTTTGTTCCTTACAAAGTGACAGTCGACCTCAATGTGCTTTGTCCGCTCATGGAACACGGGATTGTGAGCAATGTGGATAGCAGATTGGCTGTCACAGAAAACAACAATGGGACTGGATTGTGGGATAGTGAACTCTTCAAACAATTTGCTTAACCATACTAGTTCCCCAATAACTTTTCTGAGGGGCCTGTATTCAGCTTCAGCTGAGGATATGGAAATTGTCTCTTGTTTCTTGGACTTTCAGCTAATGGGACTGTCTCCTACTAGAACAATATAACCAGTGACAGATCTCCTAGAGTCAGGAAAGGATGCCCAGTCAGAGTCACAATAGGCAGAGATGGAACAATCTGTGGCATTTGAGAAAAATATCCCAAGTGTAGGATATTTCTTGAGGTACCTAAGAAGATGGAAAGTTGTAGTTAAGTGTGTATCTCTAGGTGCTTGCATGAACTGGTTGAGGAGCTGCACACTGTAGGCTATATCCAATCTGGTGTTGGTTAGGAAGTTTAGTTTGCCCACTAATTTTCTGTAGTATGTAGGATCTGGGAGAAGAGTGCCTTCATTAGCCTTCAATTTCATAGCAGGGTCAAGAGGAGAAGACAAGCTGATGTAGGCAAAGCAGTCATATTCCTTTAATAAGTCTAAGGTAAACTTCCTTTGAGAGATGATAACACCATCTGGCTTGTAAATGACCTCCAAACCCAAAAAGTAATGAAGTCTCTCAAAGTCCTTGATTCTGAACTGCTTGTCAAGGAATGACTAAGTTGGCTATCTCCACTGAATCAGTACCAGTGATGATAACATTATCAACATACACAGCTACAAAGATAGTGTAGGATGATGTTTTCTTAGAGAAGAGTGAATAATCATTTTCAGAATGTTTGTACCCTATTGATGACATGGCTTCAGTCAGCTTGGCATACCACTGCCTGCTGGCTTGTTTCAGCTCATACAAAGATTTTTTTAGTTTGCAAACCACCTTGTGTGGGCCATTTTGATCAATCAGAAGACCTAGTGACACCTCCATGTACACCTCTTCATATAGGTCACCATGGAGGAATGCGTTATTTACATCAAGTTGAAATATATCCCAGTCTTTCTTCACAACAACAATAACTAAAACTCTAACTATTGTCATCTTGACAACAGGGGAAAAGGTTTCTGTATAGTCAACCCATGTTTGTTGAGTATACCCTTTCACCACCAGTCTAGCCTTAAATCTCTCGATACTACCATCTGCTTTATGCTTGATCTTATAGACCCATTTGCAGCCTATTTCTTGTTTTTCAGCTGGTAAGGGTACTGAGTCCCAAGTGTGGTTGGCATAAAGAACCTCAAATTCCTGTGTCATGGCTGTTTTCCATGCATGCCTGAGTGTTGCTTCTCCATATGAGGATGGCTCACTATCATGACAAATATTTGTCACTAAGTGTTGACTCAGAACATAGGGCATCAGGGGTGACATGATTGTGATTGGAAAAAAATGCACTTAAGGAAGGTAAACCTTGAGAAACAACATGATAAGATGTGTTAAGTAAGTTACAAATGTAATCCTTGAGGTAGGTAGGAGTTTTATGTGTTCTGTTGGACTTTCTTAGCATAGGTGTTTGTGATTGGGTAGATGTTGGTGAATAATGACTGGTAGCTTCATGTGAAGCTATAGGGATAAGAGCATAAGAGGATAAGGTGTCTGATGTATGTATTAAAGTATCATTAGCAGGTGAGGACTCAGGGTGTTGATGCACATCTATAGATGTGATACTTGTAGGACTTTGAACACTAGAATGTGGATTGTTACTCTCAATGTAAGTAGGAAAGGAACATGATTTGAGGACATTGTACAGGGAAACATTCCTAGAGCCTAGAGAAAAAGGAAAGACATCTTCATAGAACACTACATCTCTGGAGACATGAATCTTTCTAGTGGCTAGGCTCAACACTTTGTAACCCTTTGTCCCAAAGGGATACCCCACAAATGTTGTGCTGGGCTCAAATTTGTCTATGTTCACCTTAGGCACAATAGGATAGCAAAGACAACCAAAACTCCTCAAGTGAGAATAATTGGGTTTCTTGTGATATAAGAATTCAAAATGGCATTTGTTGTTTAGGTAGGTGGTAGGTAATCTGTTAATCAGGTAAGTGGCTGTCAAAATACATTCTCCCCAATATCTAGTTGGTAATTTGGATTGAAACATGAGTGCCCTGGCAGTTTCAAAGAGATATTTGTGTTTTCTCTCCACTACCCCATTTTGTTGTGGAGTATAAGGGCAGGTTTTCTGGTGAATAATGCCTTTGGATTGATAAAATGTGGTGGCTTCATGACTGGTAAACTCCAGTCCATTATCAGATATGATGGTTTTCACAGAGGTGTTGAATTGATTCTCAATCATGTTTACAAAAGCTTTAAGGGTTTGTAGGTCATTGCTTTTACTGTTTAACAAATGGGTCCAGGTGGACCTGCTAAAATCATCCACTAATGTGAGGAAGTATTTGTAATTATCATGGGTAGTGACATGGTAGGGGTCCCATATGTCAACATGCATTAATTGAAATAACTGAGTAGAAGTATTGGTTCTTTGTGGAAATGGAAGTCTGGCTTGTCTAGCCATGGGGCAAATGGAACAAATGAAGGGTTATTTAGGTGAGAAATTCATAGGTATGGAGGATATTCCTCTCATTTTGACAAAGGGAACATGACCAAGCCTATTATGCCACAAGACATTTACATCATGTTTATCTAACACAGTTGAAGACTCATTCTTATTATTGTGAATGGAGGTATTTACATTTGCTGAATAAGGATGTGAATGAGCGGGACTTCTGAAGACTCCACTATTTGCATTAGTAGAAGAAGAATAGTTGCAACAAGAAAGTGACACATTAGCATTTGAAACAGTTCTTTTACCATTCAGACACCTGGGACATAGGTAGTATAGTCCCTCCTTGCTACTACCAATCACTTGAGGCCTCTTCACTAAAGGGTCCTGCAACAGACACAGTGCATGAGTAAAGAACACAATACACTTTAGATGTGTTGCAAGTAAATGGACAAAAATCAGGTTGTACTTAAAGGATGGAACATAAAGGACTTTGTGTAAGGTAATTTCAGAACTAAGTATCACATCTCCAAATTCAAGCACTTTCACCATATATCCATTTGGTAAGCTTATCAATAGATGGTATGGTAGTGTTGTGATATTACTAAGTGCAGTTTTATTGAAGGTCATATGGTTAGAAGCTCATGAATCTATGATCCAAAAGTCGGTCTTAGATTCAAAACATTTGCATGATGGTTTGTCAAAATCAATAGAAGAAGTGCAGATTACAATACCTGCAAAGTTGACAGCACCACTGGTGATATTGGCATTGCTGGGAGATTTTCCTGTTTGGAATTGTTGTAGCAAATTCATTATCTGCCCGTATTGTTCTTTTGTCAAGCTGATATTTTGATTCTCATCATGTAGGGTTGGATCATCTTCCTTCTCATGGAGTAGATCAGATGGGACTCCATGTACATTTGCCACAACTCATTTTCCTCTATTGAATTTTTGACCTTGAATCTGACTTGAATTATTACCCTGGTTGAATTGTTGAATATTGGTGCAATTTAAGTTTTGATTGTTGTAGGAATTGATCTGGGGATATCCATGTAGCTTGTAGTATTTGTCCTTTGTATGACCTGGCCTTTTGCAATAGTCGCAGAATGGTCGACCCATATTATTGGCAGTGTAATGCGTTTTAAAATTCCTAGCTCCAAGTGGATTTTGATGTTGTGAAGGTGCAATATTCACATGCAGTGAAGTAGACTCGAGGTTCAGCTGATTGTTTGGTCTGAATCCCCTCTGCTTCTCCTCTTGTATTAACAGAGAGAATGCCTGTGCCAAGGATGGCAGAGGTTTCATCATCAAAATGCTTCCTCGCACTATTGTGTAGACTTCATTTAGGCCAATCAGAAATTGGATAAGTCGTCTATCTTGTTCTGCCTTATGCATAGTTTCCTTTGATCCACACGTACAAACATAGGTGCACTGAGATTTAGCACTCGAATTGCTCAGTTCTTGCCATAATCTTTTCATTCGTGTGTAATAGGCAGTGATGTCCAAGGAGCCTTAAAGAAGGTCGTTAATCTCCTTTTGGATCTGGTACAACTTTGCACTATTTGTTTGATCATATTGATCTTCCAGTTACCTCCATAGTTGTACTGAATCACTGACATACTCAACACTGTCAGAAATCTCCTTTGCGAGGGTATTAAGAATCTAGGAAGTTACCATGTCGTTGCACCTCTCCCATTGATGAAACTGAGGTGAATTGGGGGCAGGTTTCCTGCAATCTCCATTTACGAACCCTAATTTATTTTTGACTGATAGGGCTCTCAACACACTCCTTCTCCACGACCTATACCCAATTCTGTCAAATGGAACCAGCACTAGCATCACTCCGGGACTATCCGAAGGATGAATGTATAGAGGACTACTCGCATCGATGACTGGTTGATCATTTCTGCTCGTATTGGGGGTGAGTTCTTCGGTTTGATCGACAACCATGGGAGAAGCTCTAAACGATGAAATTGACGAATGTTCCAAACGATTTAGTGAATAGACAAACAGATTTTATAGGAGATCTCTTCACTTCGTACAGAAATCGTAGATCGGAATCACGAAACCAAACCTTAGCAGGCGACGGGGAAAGAGAGGTCTTGAGACACAAAAAATCCGGCAGACTTCGAGTACATACGTTCTGCTGGCTCTGATACCATATTGAGATTATCAGAATGAAGAAGAGATGGAGCTCACAGAGGAGCTCCAATGGAGGTTCTAGAAGGTTCTGAGTGAGGAAAATATCTGAGTAGAGAGAGAATGAAGAAGAATTGTAAAATGGAACTCTACTACTTTTTGGATTATTACAATGTGTATCTAAAATACAAAATACAACTAACTCACTATATAAAAGCTAGACATACAACTACACCCATAACTACATGCTGACTCAGCATATTACAAATTAATTTATCTTCAACTAACTAACTTGTTTACCCTAAAAATTGAGTAACAATTAAACTTATATTGTGGTTTTAAGGATATGTGATTTAAACCAGTACCAATTGATAAACAACGAATTAAATAGATAAATTGGACGATAAAATAAATCAAACCGGTCTGCAAACAATACCTCGACCTCGATTCGAGATAGTCTCGAGGTTAGTTAATAAGAACAGTAGAGGATGGAACAAACATCGATGAACAGTGATGAACAACAGCGTATGTGTGTATTCTTATCAGTAAATAATGATCCTTTTTTACAAGTGAATGGGATCCCTCTTAATATAATAGAGGAATCCTAAATAAGGTACAACTCTAATAATGGAAGTACATCCCGTGATTGACACTAATAACCGCTTGATTTGATCTGTTTTGGGATTTCCACCGTGATCTTCGACCGGTTACTGATATCTCGTCATTCCGTTATTACGCCTTACTCGACGTCAGTCATTCTTGATCTCGATTGTTGCTCGCCTCGATCTCAATGAATACTTCGATCTCTAGGCTTGATGTTCTATCTTCGAGCTCGAGCCCGAT